TTGTTGATAGAAACAAGTCATTTTAAACAGCGTGGACATCTCTAACGGTGCAGCCCAATTGCACTTTGCGTACAGTGTGTGTGCGAGCTTCCGCTATTACCGAGTGCGCATCTTATCTCTTTAATTACTTCATCAGGATGAGTGGCGTTAACACGATGAGTAATCGCCGTTTTCTGTTTTAGACATTCTCTCGCCTCCCTGTCATCTCTTCATTTTGTGTGACGTAGTCATCAGGATTCGGACATAGTAATACGTGCAAGCGAGTACGTAAATACAAAGGCGATTGCTCGGGGGGAAATGCTTTAGGCGAAATCATACCAAAAATAAGTTTGACCAATTATCCTATTTTCCAACCAGGACAGTTTTCCTGTAAATGTACCGTTTCTCGCAGATATTCTCCATAACGTATGGATGAGACCTTACGAGTTTCAGGAACAGCTGACGGTCCGACTATAAGGATAGATTCGAGAACTGAGCGGAGAGGAAGTTTCGCGTGCGAGGGTTTCGTTCTCGTAGTTTAACGTATTGTTCCGGCAATCGCCCGGTATTGGTCGAAGCACCACGAAAAACAACCAATTAGATAGACCGGCTTAAAGTGTTCGTCTAAGAGAAGGCAGGCCTCCACTCAGCTCTCTAAGTGGTGTCGAAATGTCACCATCGCTTTAACTCGAACCCAGGACCTCCCTTTCAACTAAGCTTTCGTTGGGGACTGGCAACGACAAACGTCATCGTAGGTGTTCAAAGGCTACACAAGCGGTACAAAAAAAATGTTAAGGTCATGTTAGGCACTAGGCGTTAGCTCTTGTATCGGAAAACTGAAGACAAGCCGAAGTGCCTTTAAAAACGGCCAAGACGCGGTAGAAAAGTTAAGCAATGAGATGATGATATAGGCCTCTAGAGGTCTTTGTTCTCCAGGACTAATAAATATCTTTATTTGTCACGTACATTACATGGTTTTCTCTTTTTGCGTTCAATAAATAAATACGCTTCGTAGACTGCGCACAACCATGCCCATTATTCTAAAATAGAATTCTCCACAGAGAGAGTATAAGCACTTTTTTATTTTAAAAGTGGTAATAAATCATGACAATCAAGGTGTTGATTGAGGTTTTATTGCTGAATATGCATCGGGAGACTAATCGGGCAACAAAAGACAATATCTCATTAATTACTAAAAATATCAATGATGTTTATAGTCGCGGCCATACACAACCGTTTAAATCAGGGTTCCCATGGGGGAAGGTGTAGACCCTCTGGGGCTCGATGAAATTTTGAAGTGGACAATAGCCGAAAATGAACCGGTAGATTATCAGTATAAATAACATACCATTGATTACAAAAACTATTACTGAACTTCTCTTTCCTGATATAAAGCAACAAAGGATAACAACATATTACTAATTCGCTCCTCTTTCTTCCAATCTATCTTTCATCTTTAGGAATTGGGATATTCTTAAAACTCAATAATATAACTACACATTGAGTACGATCGTTCATAAAAGTGTTGTCCACAATACGCACTGGATAAATGTTAAGGTAATTTCTTAATCAATACTCAATATTTTGTTACATTCAGGGTACGAAATTGTTAGCTTAAAGCCATTTATGTCCAATTCTTTGTCTCGTGATTATGGATGCTGTGTACTATTAAAGAGAAAAGGGACGTGGAGCGATGACGCAAATATTCTCTTAAAAGGGGTCGATGAAAGAGAGAGTTTGGGAATCGCTGGTTTAAATGCCCTGCCACGAGGAAGCCCCGACGACAGAGCGGTGCTGTAGTCTTTTCGTGCCGGCGGCAGGCAGAGCGCGCTTGAGGCGGGCATCACGGCTCTGCGGACGCCAACACTGAAGACATTGGCGTTCGCTGATGCCGCTAAAGGCCGAAGGCATACTATACTTAGATTTTTTGAAGTGGCCGATGACATTCGGCCAGTGTGACGCCGCAAGTCTTATAACATGAATCTTTTTAACAGTGGTAAGCACATTTCTGCCCGCCGTTGAAAAGAACGTTCGCAAATGAATTTAAAATATACATTTTATAAGGCAGGTGGTGTAACAATGAACTAATATCATCGGTTAATTTTTAAAAAATCGAAGTATATTGCAACCGACGGAATGAAGCTGGCCATCCCTCCGCGGGGAGAAAACTAAAGGCGTCGTATCAGAGAAATTGAGGAGCAAACATTCAGAAGGTGACATGTCTATTTGGTAAAAGTTGACTTCTGTTGTTTTTACCTAGAATTTTATTTCCATAAAGAACGTAAGGTGTCTTACATACGTTAAGTAGTACTCTATTCGTTGAGTTAAAGCCAGTGTTGAAAAGTGTAATATTTGTGCTACATTTTTCATTTTTATTAGAAAAGAGTGAAGTGACCATATTTTGTTCGGGATGTTTGCTCCTCAATTAGTATGTACTATGGAGTGTACTAGTGCCAAGCTGAGGTTTGTAAAAGTGTGTAGTGTTGTTGACGATCTAAGCTACGAATTTGGTGTTTCTCCGATGGACTGTGGAACGGCGCTTCTTATTGAAACAGACGTATTCTGGGAAGTTGCTAATCTTTGGTACATCTTCCGAATTTCTGCAAAATTGAGAGAGTTTTTGGTACGATCTTGCATTAACAATGATAGTTGGTACAAAAAACTGTTTTTATTGCTGAGAGTTCTAATTTGATCATAACATTTATAAAAAAATGTTTTTATAAAGCATCAAAACCTATAATAATAAATCACAAATTAGTTCTTCTTTTGAAATTTTACATTATTAACCATAATCGTTAACTATAGACCCATGATGCGAGGAAGTGTATATGTCAAATTGTTCTTGTTATATCATTTTCGAGCAATTTATTTGTGTTATTATTATGCTTGTGCTCTATTTTATTGGAAAAGCTAAGAATGTCAATGAGGCAAACCATTCTTTTAAAAGTGGTCGATTTTAAGAAAGTTTTGGGAATTTAACAGTATTTACACCCATCATTCTTATGATGACCAATTAACAGTTCATCATTTTTATTCCCCTTAGTGACAAATTACTGTAACTCTTCAACCTTTAATCGCCCACGTTTATTGGAATGTGGAATACGTTTATGTTACCAGTATTTGGAGTACTAACTAATGAGCTTATGATTTCAGAATTTGTTATCGAAATGATAAATATTAGAAATGATTAACTTG